TCAGTTCCAGTTTGGCAAAGCTTTTTTGATTTCCACAGAGAATGATATGAAATTGCTGAATTGAAAGGCTGTGAGGGTTTGTTCCAAGCTCAGAGCAAAAAGGAATTAAACAAGGATGTGTAAGAACAGCCGTTTGCAAAGTATTGCTGTGGGAACCGTGTGCCTGGCGGCTTCCTGAGCAACAACGTCACTGACTCTCCAGCGCAAGCATGACGAAGACCAAGCCGGTGTCTTCTTGGCAACGTGTGAGTGTTTGCCTGTTTTTATTCTTTTCTGTTCTCTCTCTCTCTCTTTCTTTTTCTCTCTTTGCCAGTCCTGGGGCTTGAACTCAGGGCCTGGGCACTGTCCCTGAGCTTCTTTTGCTCAAGGCTAGCACGCTACCACTTGGGCCACAGCGCCACTTCTGGCTTTTTCTGTATATGTGATATTGAGGAGTGGAACCCAGGGCCTCATGCATGCGAGGCAAGCGCTAGGCCACCTTCCCAGCCCCCTTTTTGTATTGTCTAAGCAAAGTGCTTCTCTTGTGGATTTGTGACACTCCTAGTAAGAGGGCAAGGCTGCGTGCCCCGAGCAGAAGCCCGGTGGGCGTGGTGGGTCTCCAGGCAGCCTCGGTTTACCTCCTGGATCCGGGGCAGTGCTGCTCCCTGGCGTTCGCTGACTCAGGGCCACGTCCAGTCTGGATGGCCGCAGTCTCACTGGTCAGCTGAGGCCCAGGTCTCGGTGATGTGGAGGGCAAAGCCGTTGTGCTCGGCTGAGCTGTGGGCTCCGGGCGACGCCAGGCCGCCCTCCGCCAGGCTGGCCACCGCTCAGGACCTCAGCAGACATCGTCGCTCACAGCAGATTGTCGGAGAACGCTGCAGAAAGCCTGGCGAGAAAGGCTTGAGGTGTCTCTCCCCCAACTCGCTCACCAGCTCCCCCTGCGAGCTTGTCCTGCGATGGCCGCCATCGACCTCTGCACCGCGGGGCGCGGGGGGGGGAGCCACTGCCCGGCCTGACCTCTGCACCGCGGGGCGCGGGGGGGGGAGTGGGGGGGCACTGCCCGGCCTGACCTCTGCACCGCAAGGCCCGCAGGGTGGGGCGGGGGGGCCGCGCTGCCCAACTCGCTTCTGTTCTTTCTGAGGCTCTGGGAAGGAGCGGCGCCCAAGAGGGCTGAGTGAGGGGGTCCTCCTCTCTGTAGGCTCCTTTAGAAACTTGTAGAAAGGAGCCAGCAAGTAAGGCCTTGAGCTAGAAAGAGGTCGGAACCCGAACTGGAACAGTGACAGCTTCTAAGACACCAGTGAGGTTCGGCAGAGGGAAATAAGACTGGATGGAAACAGCTGGAAAAGGAACCTCAAAGTGCCGTGTCCACCAGCCCTGGAGGCCCGGGCCTCCGGTCCTCCCGCCCTTCCCCGGGACCCCTGGGAATCCTGGCACCCACTGCCCCCAGCAGCAGCTTCCCCAAGGCGCTGGGTGTGCGGCTCCGCTCACCTCCCTGGCCACGCGGGCCGGCTCGGGGAGGGCGCCCGCCGCGCGGCTCTGCTGCCGTGCAGAAGGGGCCTCTGGCGGCCCCCTCTGGCCTGTCTCCCTCCGGCCTGTCCCCCTCCGGCCTGTCCCCCTCCCCCTCCCCTGCCGCAAGCTCTGCCCAAGAGGAGCTCCCTGAGGTGGGGGGGGGCACTCGCTCCTGCCACGTGGCGCAGCCAGGTCTGCAAGCCGAGCGGAGGCGAGCAGCAGAGGAGCCCGCAGAGTCAAAGGTCTGGGGGGCAGAGGAAAGCGCCGCTACCAAGGAAGGTCAGCGCCAGAGCAGCCAGGACGGGAGGCCTCAGGACACGGTGAGGGCGGGGAGGGGTCCCCAAGGGCGGGGAGGGGTCCTGGCTTGGCCCGCCCCCCTGGCCCGTACCCAGACCCCCCCAGCTTCGGGGTGACCCTGTGCCTGGAGCCTGACACGCTGTGCCGTGAGCTCCCGTGCACACGGGGAGAGCCGCTTCTGCGGCGTCCGCAGAGCCTTGGGACGGGAGAAGCCCGTGGCAGGGGTGGCCAGTCAGCCTCCTGCGGGGACCCGCAGCCCTCCTCCGCCTCGCCTCCCTGCCCGACCCAGCGACAGAGTTCCGCTGGCCAGACCCAGAGACCCTGCCAGCTGGAGGCGGGAGAAGAAAGCAGGAAAAGGATAAAGACCGAAAGACACTTTGGGTGCCGGCTGTGCTCAGCTCGCGAGTCGGAGCTGTCGCACGTCACCTGAGCGTTTCCAGTGATCACCAGCGATCGGCTAGCTCATCACCAGCGATCGGCTAGCTCATCACCAGCGATCGGCTAGCTCATCACCAGC